ATGCACAAATATAAGCTTTATTTGTTTGCTGTGAAGGATTTTTTTTGTAAGCAATATCTTTCTAATATTAGAAATGATCAAGATCCACAGACTATTTGGCCTCTTGGGTCTAAGACGTTCGATATATTGGATTCACGTCGCAAACGATACCTATACAGTAACATTATCTGATAAAAGTACAGGTATCTAATAGATGCTATTCATGCAAAGATCTCGTAACATTTAATCACAAGAAACTGAAAAGTTCTAATTTTGAAATTATTTATTTGTTGTGCAGTGGACTGGAATCATGAGGGCCGCTGAATTATTCCATCTCGCTAAGGATAAGGAGACGTATGCTAAGCTGACTGCCAACCTTCGCTGTTCGGAGAGTCACTAGAAGAAGAAGGTCAGTTACAGTTAAACATCTAGCAGTTAAATGCTTAAATAATAAAAATATAGACCACTACTTTGTTATTAGTTGGTAGCGGTATACCCCGAAATTCAGTAAAATGCTGAACATGGTGTTAAAAGCATTAAAATCGGAACGATTGAACTTTAGGCCATAGAATTGAATTTGACATGTCTGACCTGCAATCTCTCTTATATTTCTTAAAATAACCAAACACTATAATGTGTTCGTATTTGAGCAGTTCCGCTGTTTAACTCTGAAAATATTTTTCAGATCTTAACCAAATTATTAGGGAACCTTCTCGCTGACCAACTCTTCCAAACAAAAACGGAATTCGGAAAATCGGTCAACAAACATCGGATATATGCGCGAACAATGATGAAAAAATTACTAACTGAGAAGTTCCTCCTTTTTGAAGTAACAAAATGATTCGTTATATGTTGTAGAGATTTTTTTTACGCAATCTGTTTCAATTCTGAGTTTTAGGGCTTCTTTCTCACTCAAAGAAGCATCAAAAATAGTGAAGGAAATTATGATAGGAATAATTAAAATTACTCACAAAAGACAATTATGACTCTTTTAAATTATTTCTACGATTAGATTTTGTACTTCCTATCCTATTTTTGATTTTATTAAGTACTCACCTATTCTGTACAATTTCACCATCAATATGATATTTTGACAAGGCAGCAAAAACTGTGATAAGGTGAAGTTAGCCTAAACTGAAAGATAGGTACTTTTGTGCAATTTCATACCTAAATAGAATCATTGTACTCAGAAATTGATTATATATTTAGTTGCAAGCAAATCTTGATATGCTAATATAAACTTTGGCAAAATGCTAACGGAAACGACCAGAGCAAGAGAGTTCTGCGGTTTAATTACGTCATAAATATAAATGAACCAACAAACAAGAACTGAGAAATACTATACGGGATTAGTACGTGAAACTGCATTCAGAAGATACAGCCCTAACTTAGACCATTCAGATTAGACAACGACTAGGACGCTAACTAGATAAATAAATAGCCGAACGCAAGTATTATTACTTGCAATAATAGCTATAGCACCAGATTATTGTGTTAATATTAAATTTGATAAATTTGAATTTCTTAAATTTCATTTGAATTTTATTTGTAAAACAGATACTCAATTTGAGATTAGTTAATGACGATATTTGAAATAAATTCGATATATCTCTGCAAAATGAAACTTTAATATTTCCGCACGTGGGAAATTAATTCTCACCATGTTTAGTGTTTTATTTAGGTACATAACAGTGTCCAAAAATTGATTTCCTAAAAATGCGTTAAAATACATAATATATATTTATACATTATGAATTTGAATCAGTAATTTAAAAACACCTTATCAAAAGAAAAATATCATTCATCGTGACAATAACTTACATTCTGAGGACCGCAGTCCCCCCAATGCACGCCGGGAGTGCTGCTGTGGTCGCGGCAACCGTTGCCGACTGTCCGAAGTTACGATTATAACTTTTAAGAAGAAGTCTAAATATTTTTTAAAAGTTACAAAGGAATACAAAACTCAGAAACTCATTGTCCGTTCTTATTTTTTGTCCAGAATGTATCATCATTTGATAGTTAACTTTGTGTGTGTGGTGTCTGTGATAGTAAAGTTGCATATGCTTTAAGGAAACAGATTATTTGTATGCATATGTAAAATCCAAATTCAGATCAGATGTGTATAAAAAATATTGTTTATTATTTATCTCAAGAAAATTTTTACACGAGACAATTTCACTCGGTCCAAAACATGCGCTTTCCGCTATTTGTACAGACGCACTGAAGTTGATATTGATAGTGGATTTATTAATATAGTAGTTTAATGCTAAAAATAACAGTATGACCTATGAAAGTTTTGACCTATGTTTACTATGTTTTTTATGAATGTTTTGACCAGAGTTTATTCAGTCATGTATCGTTTAGTTTTTAGAGTTCGGTACAAAAGAAAAATACAGAACCCTTATAGAATCACTTTGTTGTCCGACTGCCCGTCAGTCTGTCTGTCTGTCAAGACCTTTTATCACGGGAATGCGTGAAGGTATCGAGTTGAAGTTTAAACCAATAATCAGGTCTACGGTCCCTTGAAGCTGTGAAAAAATCAAACTAAACCTAACTAAGTGAACGTAAAAAATGGTTACGGCCATTTATGTTGCGAACTTACAGATTTGTACGGACCCTCGGTGGGCGAATCCAACTTGCACATGTCCGGTTTTTTCATACTAATACTACTAATTTCCCATCAGGAAATATAGTTGTATATATTTGGTACTGAGTGTTCGCGTTTATTGGACTCCTCTTTGTCGGGATGTGTTGTAATAATTGCTAGTTAACCACGATCATTACCAAGAACGTGAGAGTTTATTTAACTGCCACGTAAGTAATTTCCTTTCTCGCCACGATCGTTTCCCTTAACGAAAAGTTAAAGGTTAAGTATCTGTAATGAACATTCTTGCTTTAATTATCAACGAATTGGTAACCTGTTTAACGTTTTCGTAATTACAAAGTTTGTCTACGTCTTGCGACGTCATTTATTTGAATGTTTAAGTCTTTTTTCCTCTCTTACATTTAACCGTTAAGACATGATTGAGTTATCAAATCAAAATTAATTATTTTAATGTTACACCTACCATTATATTAAATGAACTAATCATTCTTGGAAAATCTATTGAATCGATAATAAAACTTGAAAATACCAATGTTCTCTATTCCACTTATGAAGAAACATTTTTTCGAATAGTTGAGAAATGAATGTTGGGGTGGTAAAGAATTGACCAATTAATATACATTCACGAAAAAGGTAGGTAAACATAATCCAATATCAAATATTATATTGATACTAGCTGACCCAGCGAACTTCGTACCGCCCTAAAAAAATAGGGGTTGTCCAGCGGACCAAATTTTGAATTTAAACCATTCTCAGATCCCCTTGAATATACACAAAAAATTTCATCAAAATCGGTCTAGTCGTTTAAGAGAAGTTCAGTGACATACACACTCACAGAAGAATTATATATATAAAGATATTATACACATATCACAGCTTGTCGATTCTGTAAAAGACAATCTCATTTACGATCTCATTTGTTCGGATTTTTGTCAATTGCTAAATATCTTTTACTGGCTGCTTCAAACAGTCATTACGACATTTTGCCGTGAAAATCATATCAAAGTAATGTCTTAAATTGTAGCAATCGAATTCAGAAGTCTGAAATCTTCATTTTACAGAAACGCACTGCAGATCGCGAGGTAAGTAGGTAGGTAAGGCATTCGTGTTATGAAAATCAGAAACAATAACACTCGTAGTACAGCAATTGCACAACAAGTTACCACAAACTGTAAAAAATAATCTCAATATATTATGGCAAGCAATGTAAAACTCAAAGTAAGTTGGATATATTTGTAAATTTTGGATAAAGAGATGTGGCTGTACCATTACTATGGTACATCTCAATAACAACCACCTAGAACAGAGATTGTGCAATCCGACCGAGAAATTAGCTGAGTGCGTATGCTTTAAGTATAAGAAACTTATTGATTGCTTAGTTAATTTGTGAAATTGAGTTTTCCACAGAACGTGTATAGCTTCTGTATAAATTACATTAAATATATAATCCAGAACATTATGTAAGAATGATATCAATTGTTGAATTTTATACGATGACACGTCTCGCACACACTGGCCACTGGACACTGGTTCTTTTCGAAATTTATCAATTTATTTGTATTGTATTTGTAATTTGAAATTGCGGCGGCGGCTGCGAAGTGTAGCGGCGGCCCACAACCCGCGATGTAGCATAACAAAAGGACCGCCTGAAACACCGTTGCGTATAAATTAGGGAATTATATTAATCGCGGATAACGCTCCGACACCTAACGAGGTTCCTCAGGGAACGGGCGCTGTACCGCGCGTTACTTTATACGCGGATTAGCTAGAAATCAGGGAATTAATTTCGAGCTTAATAACACTACAAATATAACTTAGACGATACTATAAATTTTGAAAGAACATCGAGGAACAAGAATAACAGAAGGAAAGGTAGTATTTGAAGATAAACTTTTATTCTTCAATGCTCTTCGTGGGAACAATTATTGAGATTCACCAAAAAAAAAAACAATAAAGGAAGGTGCAGAATCTCTTTTATAATCTTATTTGCTGTGCTTTAGATGAGTGCTATCAATTTAAAAGATTGCTCGAGGAAATTAACGCAAGATAACAGGGAATTAGCGACGCACCTGGGAAGGGATTAGGGGGCCAGATAAACGAATATATTACCACAATAAAGGCCACGAAAGAACAGGAATTTAGACAGTATGATATCTCCAGTGGAGCACTGATATCTAACGATCCAAGACGATGCTGTGACTGCAAATCTCAGTTCTTTGTTATAAGTCCCGGTTCGTCTTAAAGGAAATTGTTATATGTTAAAATATCGTGTTGGCTTTGTTCATCCGCTTGTCACAAATATAATTAGCTTCTTCAAACAAAGATATCTACAACGTTATGAATATAATGTCTGTGCGTAATTGGCAATTGGACGAGTTTGTTTGTTGTTGGACGAAGTTAATCAAACAAGCCAGTTAGAAGGATAAGTTATATAATTATTACTGACGTGAGCTGTTTGTTTTACATGAATAATATAATTTACTGTCCATCGAAAATTTAATGACTTTGTTATTAAAATAAAATGGTTTGTTACATATTAAAATTAATTTGTCATATCCTCGGAAATAAGTGCTCCACAATCCACAATATATCTGCTTCCTGTCACACATTTAGCTTTATTACTTGCTAAGAACACTACGATGTTGGCTACATCCTCAGCTTGGGTAACTTTCTTAAGCGGAGCTGCTGTTCCATATAATTGAAATATTTCCTCATTTTCTTCTTTGCTCAGACCAGCTGACAAGAATATATTCGTCCTTGTTGCACCAGGATTAACGGAGTTGACTCTTACTCCTTTGGATCCTAATTCTAAAGCAGCGCACTTTGTAAACATGTCGATTGCAGCTTTCGACATGCAATATGCTGTCATAGACGATATAGGTTTCGTTGACAGTATGCTGGAAATGTTTACAATATTACCCTTGGATTGAATTAAATATGGAATAATTTTATCCGTAAGAAGAAAGGTGCCTCGAACATTTATTCCCATGACACGGTCGAAGGCTTCAATTCCATTTTGCGTTTTTGCCATGACACACATGCCTGCGTTGTTGACTAAAATATCGATTTTCCCAAAGTAATTTATGGTTTCTTGCACTATTCTATCTACATCATCTTTCACACTAATATCAGCCGTTACAATTAATGCTGTCAAGCCATTTATTTTTTGACACTGGTCGGACACTTTGGCTAGGTTCTCCTTATTCCTACCAATCAAAGAAAGTTTTGCTGATAGTTTGGCAAATTCAACTGCACACGCTGCCCCAATGCCTGAACTAGCGCCCGTTATAACCACAACTTTGTCTTCGAACTCCATCTGGCTCAAAAGTCGAGTGAAGACTGAAGAATCACTTGTGAAAGTATATCACGTTTGCGGTACTAATTGGTACGCAAAACTGGACTGTAATATGAGTTGAAGTTAACGCAACAAAACCTCCGCAGTCTAGGACATCTATTTATAGATCGAGTTGAACTGCCGTATAAGTATAAGGCAATAATATTATTAGGGATCCGTAATGGTGATAACATTTACTAGATTAAGGGTACAGAACAGAGACAAAAGAGGTAAGGCATAGCGGATTTCCTACTTAAATTAGAGCACCCGGCTGGGGAAGTAACCTCCACCTGACAGAAGAGCGCAGTGACATAAGACCAGCTTTGGATGGTCTTGTGTATCTGTCGGTGAGTAAGGTTTCAGGGAATTACGATGTCGGGGATGGGGTAAGAGTAGGCAATGCAGTGATACTGCACGATATCGCAATCGTCTATAGAAAGAAAGATAGAAAGAAGTAAATTTTTGTCTCAAATCGGTCCCAACTCAGCATGGTGCTGATGTCGCCATCAGCGCTGGTCTTCCGTTGGAACCGGTTTATAGACTGTGTTGTTTCATAAAACAGCGGATTACTACCTTGAAATTGAAAGTTCGCTCGGTGAAGTATCGTCCCAATTCTCTGCATATCATCCTCTTTAGAGAAAGTTGTAGTCCAGTTTTTCGTCCAATTCACATTTTCTGTTCATATTTTTCGGTATGTTCCAGGGATTTACAGGGTAGAAATTGGGGTGAGGGAAGGTAACGCAATTGTTATTACTCCCTGGTATCGCAAGTGCTTAGTGCTTACAATAAGTCTTATATACTTCTACTAGTGGCCCGCCCTCGCTTCGCTTCGGTATTTTATCCCCTTGGGGGTAGAATTGATCAAAATCCTTTCTTAGCGGATGCCTACGTCATAACACCTACCTGCATGCCAAATTTCAGCCCGATCCGTCCAGTGGTTTGGGCTGTGCGTTGATAGATCACTATGTCAGTCAGTCAGTCACCCTTGAGTTTTATATATATAGATATACTTGTCTGGCACCCATTCCCAGGTCTTTACGTTAATCTACAGCATCCGATCTGTACCCGGTTTAAAAAAACGCTTTTACGTGTTTCTTTTTACTATACTATAGTATCTATTATGAACTATAAGTATCTGTATATGATAATGTTAAAGTTGTTAAAGTGTATAGATTTTTATGATATAGTTGGTTTGCGAAAAATATTTTTTCCCAAATTATAACATTGATTAGTAGAATATTGAAATATTCATATAATATTTAGTTTTATACGGAACCAATTATAGGTAAACTTAATTGTATCTATCTACTTCTAGACTTGCAATTGTTTCAATTGACGTAAGTAGATAATCAATCGTTAAATGATTGTAATTGCTTGTGCCTATGCCGACTACAATGTTTGTAGCATGAATTTATAATATGATACAATTGAAATGGTTAATGTAAATTCTTTAATAGGGGAGTTTCCGCTCGAATTGGAATGAAGTAATCTGCACCCTACATAAGATCATAGTGAAATAGCACTAGTTCCTTTTAGTGGTGTTGTTTTTTGCGGTGGGTATAGGCTTTGGGCTCTGTGGGATCCTTACCCCACATCACCGACCTGAGTTCGGGTTGGTAATGTGAAGATGGCTTAAAGCGTTTGTTAACCAACCGCTTTCCGTCGTATAGGCACGGTTTCTCCCCCTTTCTTGATCACGAACAAGGTTTGAGCGTTTGTACCACTATGCCCTAACCGGCGATAGCGCCGGTGTCGTTAACAAAACATAAGTTCCCCATACTTAACTGATGACCGGACGTAGACACGGTTTAAAACCGTGCCTTGATCCGGGTTGAAATCGTTTCGTTAACAAGCGCCCTAAGGAGAAGTATATATGTATAATTTCTGCTGCATCAGCTGTCTTCGCAGCTGGAATCCATTTGCATAAGATGGTAAGTTTAACAGCAGGTGGAGTGGGAAATTTGCTGAGCCTTTTTTAAAAAAGCAGATATTCTTCAGTATTTCCTTATTATGGTGGTAAGCTAGTTGTTGTACTATATTGAGGAATGATATCAATTTCTTTACCATCACATAATACTTAAAAAGTGTTTTGAAGTGTTAATGGTATAGATGTTACAGTTAAAAATAGTTAAAAATAGTTTTTACTAAATGTCTTTGTTAAAACTAGAAATAACTAGTCAAAACTAGAATTTACCATTGATATATGTAATTATCAGATAAAACTAGTTGACAATCCGAGCTTTAATTAAAACTAGCACTAGAAAAACTAATCTGGGATTTAAAACAGGATACAGTATCAAAAATATTTATTAGAAAGATCTAGGACACAGACTCTACGTCACTTGTAATATGAATAACCTTAACCGCCAGAAGCCAATTTTTCAGGAAAGGCAAAAAAGTAATTTGAAAATTAGAAAAAATATTATAACTTTATATGTACATACTTATTCTTTTGAAATTATGTTTATAGCAATTGTGATATATTTATGTGATCTTTTAGATAAACGAGATCTTAAAAAGCCAGCTATTATAATTTAGAAAATAGTATGATGCTTACGTATTTTTTTTCTCAAATAAACTAATTTTATAAAATCATAAAGCCTGATCCCAAACTGTTTCTTTTTTTCATATTAATTATGTTAGAAATTGGCATTCTTATAATAAAACTTATTTGCTGTGCTCGACAGGGTTCATAATCTGAACTGTAAATATTTTGAACACCTGCTGTAGGTTATTCAGGTGGTGTGGTTATTGAGAACAGTTTTAACTGACTCGCTTCGGAAAATCGCGTGTTGTCTAGTAAGAACTAGTTATAACTGATAATCCATTTTGAGTGTTAGTCAATTCTAGTTTTAACAAAGGCATTTAGTAAAAACTAGTTCTAACTCGGGAAAACGCGTTTTATCTACAAACTGGCATTAACTGTAACATATCTATATACCTATGTTAGGCTTTACATCTGCGTAAAATAATTGATTGAAAATATGTAAAAGTATTTATAAATAACACATGTATTAATATTTAATTTTTATGTTAATATTCGTTTTTTAATATTTTTTTTTAATTTTTGTTCAACTATTTGTTGCATAGTTTTTTTATTCTTGCAGTCAATTATATAGTGAGGAAATGATTTTTTTTCCATGTTGTGGTTAGGAGACAATAAAAGAGCAAACAATTTTGATACAATTTATTTGAGTCATTCCGATATACGAAAGACAACATCCATATTGTTTGAAGCGATTTCTATTTACACTTAAATTTACTTTAGAAGCTCCCTAATTGTCTTTGGCACTTGCATTAAAATAAATACTTGTTTTATCGAAATACATAAGATCGTTTCATTCATACATCTATTAAAAAGCCACCTTAGCTTAAATGTTAACATTAGTTAATATTTAAAAAGTGTATGCTTAAAAAGTGTATGCTAAATTAGTGACTAGTGGCCGTTTCTATTATTTCCATATCTATAGACACAATATTATTAAATATTTTTTTCAATTTCATAATATCCGGAATACCAATATATTGTATATCCTTTATTTAAAACGGTTGTAAGCTCAATTACAAGGTCGCAATTAATAAAGTTCTGAATAATTCATTTAGCAGAAAACGTATGTTATTAAAGCCCACTCTCAGTAAATTTGCTGAATCTCGATTCAATTAAAACTAGACGTAATCTAAAGAAATTGACAAAATGTCAATGTCAACTTGACATTATTGCATCGGTGATTCTATTCAAAGTTAAATTGAGGTTTAGCGAAATTCCTGCAAGTGGGCCCATAACAATTAAGTAAAGTTGTCATCTTGTGGTGCCATATCTTAACACTAAGGCCCGTATTATAGAAAGATTCTCAGTGTTTGATCCAGTCTTGAGCTTAGTTAAAGGGATGTCGCTTTATATAGCACATAGCGACATCCTTATCTAACTGTACTCAAGTAAAGATCAACACTTAGTTTATACGGGCCTAAAAGTTTTACAAAAGAAGAAAACTGATCTTTATAACAATTGAAATTGAGAAGTATTATCCTTGTGCATATGCACAAGGATAGTGCATATATCTAAAGTATATGCACTATTCTTGTGCATATATATGCATATACTTTGTTTCACATACAATAGGTAAAGATATTCCAAAGTGACGCCAAATGCGTACTTATATAAGTACTAAAAAAGTTTAGAGGTGATTCGCATCTTTGAATTTTTAGGAAACATTATCCAAAATACTCAAGTTGGTTTGAAAATCACATTGTTACCTACGTATTTTATATAGTATGAGGAAGAGGGAAAGACAATCTTTCATTGACTACACACATTAAATGGAAATTAAACTTTAACAGAATAGTTTTATATTGAAATCTACAATGAAGGATATACAATTAAAATCCAACACAACGCCACGAGATGGAAATTGGAACATAAAAAGTGATAAAAAGTCAATAATGAACAGGTCAATCAAGTTGGAGGATATAAGATACGATTATCTAAGCTGTCATTATTTTTTTTTATATTCCTTTTTTTCAGCAAATCAAAAAAAAATTGAGCAGGTTGGTTGTAAATAACTTTTTAGTAATTAAAAGTATTAAACATAAAACTTATATGGCTGATAAATTGATAATATATATATTTTACTCAAACAGTTTTTTTTTGATAAGCAATATTTACTCAACCATTATTTTTAAGATGAAATTGAGAATGTGTTTAAATTCCAACTTAGTTATTTTTGATAGTTGAACAATAAGTAGTTTGGTATAGTTTATCGCTTCAAGTGTTAAAATTATTTTATAAAAATTGTTCTCCTTAATGTAGGTACATACCGTACTTAGCCGAATATGAGACAGTAAAATATACAATGTAATTTTGTACAAAACGACGTGTGTAAACACTGGAGGGAGTGCGATACTGGACGTTTGAGTTTAATTCACCCTTTTACATAACCTTATTTTTACGTCCTACTTAATACCGAACATCTTTAGTTCTAAGATAAATCTATATTGCCGGGCTATTTCTATTCTCAAACGCTATGGAAATACCTTATTACTTTATAATTATAGCGTTTTTTTTATTTTCAATTCAGCAATAAATT